CATTTTGAGAAAAGTATAACATGTTTCTAAATATTCCGTTCAATACAACATTTAGTTCTTGATTCAGTAAAGCTTTACCAATTACATTCATTGGTTTATCAAATACATATGATGAGAGAATCCTTAGCTGTTTCTAAGAAATTTTTTTTTTAGTTTAACTTTATCTGTAAGATTAGAAATTCCCTTAAAGGAGAAATTTGGACTAAGTGCAGAAGTGATTTTTTTTTTCCCCCACAGAGGAAACATACAGGGCTTTATTTGCTAGACAAACTGGCATATTGTGTAACATATCATTTTTAAAATCATTATGTAACAAATTATTTGAAAACTACTGTGAACTGGTGGTCACACTGAAATTTTTTTTTTTTTGTATTATATTTTAAGTTTTGGTGGTTTGCTTCATCCATCCCCCCCGTCATCTACATTAGGAATTTCTCCTAATGTTATCCCTCCCCAATCCCCCCAGCCCCTCCTATCCCTCCCCTAGGCTCTCCCTCGACCTCCCAACAGGCCCCGGTGGGTCACACTGAATTTTTATGAAAACAAACATTCTATTATTTGTAAAACTTTTTTCCTTTTCCTGTTATAATTTATAGTCTTCTAGAATATTTAGAAAAACAGCCTATTCTTTAGGACTTGTCAGCAAAATTGAACTTTATCTGGACAGCTTTATTGGTTCATTTCCTTCTGTAGATGCATTTGGAATCCTTGAAAATATCAAAGTGCAATTAAATTCTCCATATTTAATTAAAGGATTGTATGAAGTCCCACTTTCATCTGATGATATTCAAATTCACAATGTCAACACTGGGAGTTGGGTCCATTGGGCCTTCTGAGAAAAGCTCAGAATAAAGTTATTCGTGCATTCATCACTCTTCAACAGTAGTGTTTACTCCTTGCCTTCCTTCTTCATTTCTATGTAAGAAAAAGAAACTTTCACCAAAAAAGGGAAAAATAATACATTTCAATAGAATATTGTACAATTTCCTGATCAACACAACTATAATGAGTTATATTTTATGGATAAAAATCTGATGACATTACAAAATCAAATATCTCCAAATTGTAGTATGATAACTCAATATTTCATGTCGAAATCTGCTGTAACACCAAAGGAAAGCATGCTGTGCTGGGAGAGCCAGCACTGCACCCCAGCCCCTGTTCTGGGATGTCATTATCAGGTTCGAGGACTGGGAACAGTGCTTCCTAGGCTGCCTGGTTGACTGATGGAATGGGAAAAAGAGGCCTTATCAAGGCTCCTAGGATGAGTTTCTTGACACTTTAATGCATATCTTTTCCCCCCATGGATAGGAATCTCATTGCTCTGGAGAAAAATACAATTTCATTACTATTGCATACACATATTTTATTGCCAAGCAACCATTAGGAATTCAAAGCCCATGTTCTGCTACATTTATTTTGCTCATTGTGCATTTACTCTCACCTTCAAATACTGTGGGAGACTTTGTCTAATCACGTTTCATTTATGATGAAAGTGAAAATAAGCAGCATTGGACACACAGCAATTCACCATGTAAAGCTTTTGTCATCTGGCAGTTACAGATGAACTTTGATGGCATGTGACACAAAAATGCATGAAGTTTCTGAGATAATCTAAATTTAATTGTGTAAACACTGTGCACGTTACCCTGAATGCATATTAACTTAATTTTGGTAAAATAAAATCAAATAATTTCTCCTTCTGATATTTGTGTGTTTGACTATTTGGAAATTTGTTCTTTATGAATTGCCATAAAAATGAGCTTGAGATGAAATTCAAAGCAAGGTCTTTGACAATGCAGCAACTCTACTGCTTAACAGTTTTTTTTTTTTTTTTTTTTTTTTTTTTTTTTTTTTTTTTT